TGTTGCCAGATAAGGCAACAAATTTCAACAAACTACATATTATTTTGAAGTTTTTAAAATGGAGAATTTTAAAATAATCTTAACTTAATATTGAAGCATTCCTCATTATTTTTGTTTTATGAAGGTTGGCCATTTACCTAGTGTGTAACACAGTTAAAATGCATGAATATTTAAGTGTTTATTTGGTATGGGAAATAAATCCAGCTTTTCCAGTGATCTTTGACAAGGGTTTCTTCTCAGTACCAGTCTGGGTCTTTGGGTTTCTCAGCTGCTGTAAAAAGGCTTGATTGTGACTCAGACCCTACGGCAGATCCTGTCCTGGATCCCTGCCTGCAAATGACACCAATTATTAAAATAATTAGTGTGCTTTGATTTATAAAGGCAGGGGACTTTCCAGAGGGGTCAAGATGACCCTGCTCATCCTCTTGCGTGGACGTTTTCAGTGCAATTTTCATGACAGGACTTTGAAAGCATGTTTTGTTTTATTTTTTCTCCCCCTCTGGCAGAGGGGAGCCAAGTGCAGAAAGAGCCAGCTGAGTTCCCGTAAACCGGGTGGGACTTGGGGAAGAGGAGGAGAAGGAGGAGGAGGAAAAGAACGAAAGAGGAGGGTGTTGAAAACACGTGGGTGCACCACTAAACGGAAGCTGTTTCAATAAAGATGTCTGCGCCCGAAGAGCACACGTTCGACGAAAAAGAGGAGCTGGAAGAGATGGACGAGGGGGACGAAGACATGCAAGAAGAGGAGGAGGAGGAGGAGAGGAAGGTGTACGTGCCCGGAATCGAGCCGCTTCAACCCGGGGAGGAACTGGAAATGGACCGCGCTGCGTACCGCATGTACCACGAGTGTCAAACAGGCAGGACGAAATAGAAAAGCACCGTGTGGCATCAAATGACGTGTGCAGGTTTGATTTACTGTTGTTGTTGTTGTTGTTGTTTACCTTCAGGTGCGCCATGTTTGAGCTTTGACGTCCTGAGAGATGGAGATGGAGACGGCAGGCAGCAGTTTCCTCTGTCCATGCTGCTGTGCGCGGGCACGCAGGCGGACACAGCCATGGGCAACAGGTACAGGCCTCCACGCGCAACAACAGACCTTCGCGCATGCGCAGAAACGCCTCACATTAAGTACAAAGTAAACAACTTCCTAGAATTTGCTTTTTGCTACCTAATTCTCGGTCACTGTCACGTCTGAGAGAAAAACCTTTCATGTAGGCCAGGTTGACATTAGGGGTGTAAATCACCAGCTTACCATACAATATTACATTGTACACATTCGTTTTAACTGGTATATTCTCTTTAACTTGGTTTTAAATGTTGTTTTATCATAAATTATTTTAATTTTGTTGATTCTGTTTTTATCAATTGTTGTTTTATAAGTGTTTTGATAGATGATCTTGGGTTTTTGAAAGGCGCCCTGAAATAAATGTATTATTGTTATTATTATTGGTTTGTTTGGATGACAAATTGATATTTTTCTATCACAAAGTCCGTCACAATACAATTTCAGTTTAATTCAGTTCACAAGTTTGACATCAATCTAATGTGATATCATAAGACAGTCTTACACATCTGCGTTAGATGGAGTTATGATATCGATTCACATCGAGTATATGATGACGATATTAATCAATATTTTATTTTTCCTCTATAATTGCCTATATGCCACGGACATCCGGTCAAGCACTTGATGCCACTCCCAACACTTCCGGTTCAGGGTCAACACAGTGTTAGCGAAAGATTTTTTCACCTGATAACAGCTCTCAATGATCTCCACAGTACATGATTAGCATGTTACATGTACCAACATTAACACAAGAGACATACAGGTCCAGCCAAGTGGAAAAAAATCACTCCAAAGTGGATTAAAGCCATAAAAACAAAGGAAAGATTTTCGTGTTTATGGTTCCAGAATTTAGCCTTTTTTGCTATTCTGTGGCTGCTTGTTCCGTGAATTATTCACGTAGAGCTGTGACACTTATATTGTTGGAAAGAGCAGAGTCTGGGCTTTAAATTGATGGGCTACTTGTATGGTTTGGATCGTTTCCCCGACGTTAGTGAATTGAAAACGTAATGATTATCAGGCGGAGGTTCTGCTGCTCTCGGTGCTCGGGAGGAAGGGGTGGGGGGCGCTCGTCACTCAGCTTTAGTCTACGCTGTAATATACACGCTAACAAGTTTTTACTTTTGCATAAAACTCATGACAAAGTCGCATAAAAACATTTCATATAAC